CAAGGAGGACAAAGGAGACAAAAGTAATGAAAGAGAGATGACCAGAGAGGAAAACACCCGATGGGAATGAGAGAAATGGAAGGATTTGAACAAGATCGGTCTAAAGCCAGCAGTGGTAGACATGGCAAAGCCATTGTCAAAACCAAGTAAAATGTTCTGAAACGTTAAGAATAATAGGACAGGAAAGGGCACAACCATGTCACAGAGACCACCGAGGAAAAACACACCATTTTTTTCTGATACCACAATAAGGAGGAAGGATGGATGGAATGGGAAAGAAGAGAATCTATCTATGTGGAGAGTTTGGACCACCTCGCTAGAGACATGAGGAACAGCAGGAAATTTCAGCATATTAATGTGCCTACCTAACTCAATCAAAGATCCACAATTTCCTATGTATGCAGAAATGCTAACCAACTTGTCAGAGAAGAGTTCATAAAAAGATGCAGCCCTGGATGGGGAGGTGGAAGAGGAACAACTGTTGTGGTGTTGTCTCTGTTGACGTGTAGTGAGAAAGATAACAGAGTCCAGGAGACTCAGAGCAAGATTCCATTGATCATGTAACACCCACTAAAGGGTGAGCATGTGAGCACAACCTTAGGGAATGAAGGCTTCCAAGGAAGACTAAGTCCTCAAAAGAGAAAAATAACTCACATGCAATTAGAAAAAGAGAAGATTGATGAAGTACAGAAGAATGGGCCTGACTGAGACAGGAGTTAAGAAACACCCCCCAAGTGGATAAGGTATTGGGTCAGAAGAAGAAAATATTTCTACAACTTGACAAGTCAACCCACCCAAGCTGCTTCCCAAAGAAACAACTGGGTGTGCTCGTGAGATGTTTGATGGGATGGAGTTAATAGCACCCAGTTGTCCATTAATAGTGGTACTATAGACTGTGAGAATGCATAAGTCGAGCAAATGTCCTGAACACCTGAGATATATGTAGGATGTAGATGCCAGTCCAAATGGTAAGGCACAGAATTAATAAACTTGAACCTTGCAAACAAAACAAAGGCAATGTTGAAGTGTTGGAGAAATAGGGAAGTGAAGGTTTGCATCTGCAACGTCCACCCTCATTAGCCAAAGACCTGGAGTAAATGTTCATTGAAGGGTAAGGAAGGATTCCATAGTAAAAAGAGGATGGTCAATAAAACAGTTGAGATGGGACAGATCTATAATATGATGCCACTCCCTGGTCATTTTGGTAACTATGAACAACTTGGAATAGACTCCTGGAGATGGATGACTGACAGGTTCTAGAGCATCATCGAGAAGAAGAGTCTGAACAGCTTTGGAGAGATATTGGCAAGAAATAGGATCCTGCAGGGGAGGGGGTGTGGAGATAAGATAGAGGGGTTAATAAATTGAAGGGAAAGACCTACAGACAACACCTGTAGCACCCAAGAATCAGAGTTGAAAAGCATTCCATAGATGCACAAACTTGGCCAACCGTCCTCTGACCTTGCCAGAAATTACAGGACAATCACCAGTACCATTATTGGTGGGGTCCCATCAATGAGTAATCTGGTGGCTAGCTGCCAAGACCCAGTAAAGAGGTACAGGCAAAGGTGCAGAAGGAGGAGGGGAGGAAATGGGGACAAAAGTGGGCAAAAGCTGTGAT